GATAAGAAGTTTAACATGTCAGGAGAAGTGTTAAGTGTTGAAATGAAAGGGCCAACAGTTGAAGGTCCATCCATTGAGATAAACATTAAGGGAGATAATAAAGAACAACAAGAGGGCAAATTTAAGCTTCCAAAATTTGGGATTGCTCTTCCAACAATTAAAGGTCCAGATGGTGACCAAGGGCTTAAGAAAGCTCGGACCGAAACAGAAGTGAAAATGTCAGGGGATATACTATCTATAGACAAGAAAGAGCTAAAGTTACCCAAAGGATCAGTGGAAGTGGATGTGGAGACTAAAGGTGCTGAACTTGAAGTAGAAGAAAGTAAAATCAAACTACCACAGTTTGGAATTTCTCTACAAGCATCAAAAAGTCCAGAAATTGACATAAGTGTTTCAAAAGCAGAGGTTTCTCAAACTGATGTTAAAGAATCTGTTACAGTAAAAGATGTTGTGGCTGAGGAACCAGCAGATTTAACTGATATGAGTTCTAAGGGACTTAGTGTAAAAATGAAGAAACCAAGCTTTGGATTTCCAAAAATTGGATTTTCAAAATCAGATGGCAAGTCCCAAGATATTCAAGCCAGTGAAACGGCAGCAGATATATCCTTGCCAGAGGGCACTACAGAAATAGGAGAAAGTGAGACAGAGGGCAAAACTGAAATAACAAGTCCACAATTTGGCTCGCCAACAAAATTCAAACTCCCAACAATAAAATTACCCAAATTTGGAGTTTCCTCTCCAAAGGTCCTTAGTGATGCAGCAAAGGCTGATTCTGAAACCAAGGAAATTAAAATTAGTTCTGTGGATTATGAGATAGAGACATCAAAGGTAGATCTATCAGGTGACATCAAAGGCAAAACTGCAGAGACTGAAACCCCATCTATTGATATTAATATAAAAGAAAAAGAACTTAATCAAGAGGGACAGGAAATTAAATTTAAACTTCCAAAATTTGGGATTTCGTTACCCAAAGTAAAAGGTCCTGAGGTGACGTTGACTGCAAAAGAGGTAAAGACAGAAACACTTGAAACTGGGATAATTGAACCAGAAATCAAGGTCGCAGCAGAAGATGCAAGTCTCCCAAAAGTAGACATGGCTTTAGAGGGAAGTTCCAGCCTTGAAAAAAAAGAGGTAGAGACAGAGTTGAAAGAAGATACAGTTGTTTCAGGTTCTCCAAGTAAATTCAAATTGCCTACTTTTAAAATGCCAAAATTTGGAACTTCTGCTCAAAAAACATCTGATGCAAAAGTAAAAGTTGCAAAAGTAGATGTACCAGACACTGACCTAAATATTGAAGACAAGCCTGTACAAGTGTCTAAAGAAACAAAAAGAGAGGGTGAAATTAAAGAAACCACTGAACAGCCTACAGAGGCTGCTACTAAAAAACTGGATGGGGTCAAAGGCTCCCCAAGTAAATTCAAGCTTCCTACTATAAAAATGCCAAAGATCAGCATTTCAAGAACAAAATCTCAGGAAGGAGAAGATGACACAACCACCAAAGTGAGTGCTCCAGATGCTAAAATAGAACCCAAAGATGATACTCAAGGGGCTGGAAAATCACCCAAATTTACAATGCCTACACTTGAGGATGTTCTCAGGGGCTTTGAAGTTGAATTTAATGTTCCAACAATAGAGGAAACGGAAGCACAAAAGGACAAACCATCTGTTAAGCAAGATCAGGAGGCTGGGGCAAAAGTTGAGGAAGCAGCAGAACATAAGGACAAAGGAGCTCAGGAGAAATCAAAGTTTAAATTTAAATTTCCAAAATTAGGATTCAGCCAGTCTTCAGATGAAAGTGATAAGTTGGTTGACGCTAAGATTGAAGAAAGTGAAAAGCATCTGGAGGCTTCAGCAGATCAGAAAGCAACTGTTAGCAAAGAACAAGCAAAAACTGAGAAAGGGAGCTGGTTCAAGTTCTCATTTTCTTCTCCAACCAAAACGTCAAAAACAGATGCGAAAGAAATAATCCAACCACCTGAAGAGGCTGAGAAGCTTGATGATGTTGAGAAAGAATCAAGCAAGGAACACGAGGAACCTGAGAAGAACTCGCTCAGTGAGGCTGTGGAGGAAAACCTCAGCCCAACACTGTCACTGAAGTCATCTGAAGCTTTTGCAGATATCAGTTCTACAGTAACCACTGAGCAGATTGGTCTGTCACAGACCTCACCTACAAAAGTTACAGTGAAATATGCCGAACCCACTGCCACCATTGGGCTCAATGATGTGCAAACTGATGTTGTGACTTCCACAGCCAGATGTGAACTGATATCAATGGAGCCTCACCAGCCAGAAAAAGTCAACATCCCTTTCTCATCAGATATGTCCTCAGCCTCATTGGACACTCTGAAACAGATGTCAGGGGAAATTCACATCATCACATCGAACATACAAGCTATACCAGAAACACAGCAAGCCTCAATCTTTACTAATTTAGACGCGCATGGAATTCACACCTCACCTTTACAAGTAACACTAGGCTCAGACTCAGTGTTGACAGTGGAGGAAACCAGAGTGCAAAGTGGGACACGCACATTGGTGGAAAGGCATGTTGTGAAAGAAACTTTACATGATGACAAAGAGACAATACTTGTGACACAGACAACACGTGTATTTGAAGGAGACTCTGCAGAACCCATTTCTGATGAGACGGCTTCCTCAATTCGTAGGCTAAAAGATACGGTACACATTGAGAAAATGAGGTTTTTTGACAGTGTAGCAACAACTGAAAAAGTCACAATAGTGAGCTCTGAAACATCTCTAAGACATATGGATTCCTCTACTGATGAGAATGGGAAATGAACATGAGATCTTGCTGATTTGATTTTATGCTTTTGAATTTATGTTTCAGTGTTCTCTTATATAATCATATAAGCCAGCTGAATTGTAATGCTATTAAGCAAAAGAGTGCTGATACTTATGAACATATCACAGAGTATTGTTTAGCTAACAGAGATTTTAAGCTTAAAAGACTTTTAAAAATCTATACCCACTGGAGAAAAAAATATGTATGTACATGGAAAAATAGGGAAAAAATTATGTTATAATTGTATGTGTGGGTTGTCTGTGCTTTATTGTAAAACTGATATCTTGGGAATATTGTTTATAGTACAAACTTGGTAATCAAGCAAACACCATTAAACAGATATAATCACAAATAAAATTAATTATAAAATTAATGTGGCTATTAAAGACTGTTGACTGTATCACATATTGAGGCATTTGTTTCTTTAAGGTTATTTTGTGAAAACTATATAATTGCATATAAAATCTGTTTCTGCAGCCTTGAGAAAAAAAGAAGAAAATAATATGTAAATGTTTTATTCACCCAAAAGCATTTGCACCTACAGTATGATGGAATCAATGGACTTGAAAAACACACAATGCATATTTTAAAATACAAATAATTTTCTTAATAAGCAATGACTTTTCTTTTAACATAGGCCTATATAGCCAAATATATAGCCAAAGTAATCAAATTAATGTTGTAAGAGAAACACTTTAACTGGTTGCTGCAACATAAATAAAAAGTGGAATAATGCTCCATGTCTCAGATTTATTGTGTGAACGTGTACATATAATAAAGCATTTATGATCCATGATCTTTACAAATTCTGATAGGAAATGCGATTTCCTGGTATCACTAATTAGGCTACTATACATAATAATACTAAAACAGATCAGTATAAGTGTAGAGCCAAGAAAGAGTTAAAATAATGTACAGAGACAAGTACCAAAAGCTGACACAAACAGTTCATCGCAAGGCGACGTTTAGAAAGATACTTACATCCGAGCCTAATATTGTAAACTATCTTACTGGTTGTTTAGGAGTGATATTCAGCTGTGATGTCCTGTTCTCCAAGCGCATTTGAAAGTTTTATCAAATTATAATCAGGGTGCGAATTACGGGTGGGGGGTTGGGGGGGTCTGACCCCACTAAAGAAGGCTTGATCCCCCCTGATGGACGTCAAAACTAGATGTAGGGGGGGTCAGATAGAAAGTAGACTAGCCTACACATAATATGGAGATTTACTTGTAAATATTAATATGTATTTCTATAACTCTGACTGATTTTAAAAATGTAACTTTGGCAGCCCCTGAAATGGGTCGTATTGACAGTACCTGAGCGGTTGAAGAATACGCTACTGCGCTCATTCAAAGACGTGCATTTATTGCTTGGACGGAGCAAGAACACCTGAAATGCATGTGCAGATTCAGTCGAGAGATAAAGTTTACCCTCTTCAATATAATGCTGTTGAACTGAATTTACGGAGAAAACTATTTGCTAAAATAACCACAACATTAACAGCAACACTAAAATACAAGCGTGTGGTAATGTTAGTCAGACGGGCATGAAAGTTGCACATGTTACTATAACAAACACTGCTGTTTTCTTTCAGAATCATCATTGGCGTTTAGAAAGACAATAATAGGTTACATAAAAGTTTTTTACCTACAGTAAAAATGAAGATAAGGTGTGAATAATTACATTTTAGACACATTGTCAGTAATTTCGCCAACAAAAATAAGGAGAAATGTTGTGCATCTCTGATCAACACACAGAATCCAAGTTTTTAAATGAATCGATTGAATCAATGATTCAGTGAGCCATTCATAAAGGCAGTCACTTGCTTCGTTTCTGAATGAATTAGCCGTTTGAACGAATCGATTGAATGAATGACTGAATCATTCACTAATTAAGACTACCTACTGGCGCTTTTAGTTTTATATTTAAAGTATTGTTTCTTTTTAAAAATAATTTTATATTTCACTAGCCTATTTATTTGTATTTTTGTATGTTGAATTAAAATATTTATTTCTAACGCTACTTATATTTCTTTCTAAAGCTACTTTTTGTAATGTCTATTCAGTGTTTTTTTTCTAAATTAACACAATAACTATTATCTTTAATAACTTTATCTTTAATTAATCGGAACATGATGTGCATGTTAATTAATTAATCTTATTAATTTGAGATTAATTTGATTAATTAATTGCCACATTATGTAATTAATTAGATTAAAAATAAAAATAAAAAATCACTTGACAGCCCTATTTAAAACATAAGAAATTGCGTGGTCACTGTGTAATTCGCACCCTGGTTATAATCCATGAAGATTATACTTCATAACAACTTCGCTAGCTCCGATCATGTTAACTTCATAAAGCTCATTATAGCTGATGCAAACTCGAGTCTCACTTGAGGACCCTTACCGAAAAGTAGTATACTTCAAGGTTATTTTAGTAAGTATACTTAAGTAAACTTTAAGTATACTACTATGTCCCTATTTAGGAATTAATCTGTATATATTTTGTTATATGAATATCTGAACATACAAAACATCAAAAGAAAGAACAGGGTATCTGCTTGTAAACAAAAACATTTTATTCTAGCTACATGCATAGTTTTTTTATAAACACTTGAATGTGGGTAAGTTTTATAAATAAATAAAAAATAAAGAAAGAGATAAACAACATTTTGAACAAAAAGCTTAAAAAAGACTATTAATTGGATTCAGAATGATAATCAAAACATAGATGAAGTCGATCAACACCCCAAAGCTTGACAGTCATTATTACCTCTTCATTGGTCGACATTTTATTCCATAATGTTACACAGTTTTGATGCTGTTTTATGTCTGATGATCGTGTTAGATTACATGTGGAAGCATCTGTTGTTTCAGTGTCTTCTTCACTTGTGTTTCTTTGGAAATTCTGTACAGAAGATGTGTAATAGCGCCCCCCTTACCTTATAACAAGCACAAGTATAGCTCAAACATATTTAGACTTTTTCTAAGTATAAGTCAAGTATACTTAAATGTCATTTTAAGTATATTTGTTAGAAGTACATTAAGCCCATGTCTGAGAAGTACATAAAAAGTAGACTGAAAGTAAACTTTGCTATTTTTAGTTTAAAAGAAGTATACTAATATCACACTTGAATAAACTTCTTTTTCGTAAGGGGAGGTCGCTGATTTACCAAGCTACTTTTACCACTGTGTTCCAACCTGTACCCCATGCCCTAAGTAACATGTTCTGATAAATCCCTATCTGACGAGAAAGACCACCTTATTCCCGGACAATATTTTAGCAAGTCATTGTTGTGTTTTTCCTTCGACTGTTTAGAATCTGAACGGACGCATAATAAGTGAATCACTCGTTTAAGTTTACTTTCCCCTGAATATGGTTCGGTCGGAGTGGTTTTTCACTCAGTAAAACATCGTAAATCATTTACTTAAAACACGGAACGAAATGAGTGCTGAAATATGTCAGCTTAAGAGGTCATGTACTCTTGTACTTTTCACAGCCATATTGTCTGCCAGTGATTAAGAAATTCAACAAATGATGTGATGGAATTTATGAAGCAGGTAAAAACAGACTGTAGGGTACACTTTTTTGCTTAATGTGGCATGTGCTCTGTAACTTTATTTCTGTTTATGGTTAGCCTGTGCCTGTTTATGAACCCATTGCGTGCAGAAATACATAATTTTCACCACAAGCTCATTTATTGAGTCTGTGAATATTTCTATAGTAGCTAGTTGTTTTTATAAGTGCTGGAGAAGGGGGACTATTTACAGTTGTGACATTGTGTAGAAAAAAAGACTTCCC